CATTTTTGCAAAGGATTCCCTTATCGATTCCAGTCGCCCCGAATGACGTCACCACGTTGTGGCGCTTCATTTACCCGGCAGGAAACACGGCGCCTAAGCGGCTCAAACGCTCAAAAGTTTGGTTATACTTTACGAGAACGGATGACAACAGGGCAACTTGCAATACTTGCAAAGTAGATATTTCATTTAAGGGAGGAAACACTACGAATATCAAAAGCATTTGCTCACAAAACACGCGATGACCTTAAATGAATGTCGTGTTTTTAATTCTGCTCCGGACTCGTGAATCTCAACCGAGCAGCAGCGGTAACGTTTGCACGTCCTCTCGTGTTAATGCGGCAGGTAAATAATCAACTAACAGTGCATATTATGTTAGCGCGATCTGCCTTCTTACAAAACCTGCTATTACTGTGCGTTGCATTTAGGTGACCATGATGAGACAGACAGAGTCCGGCTGGCTCAGATGCTGGCAGTTCTCGCTGCAGTCTACCTGGTAGCGTCTCCTTTCAGGCCAGGATAGACGAATGTCACGAGCAGTGATCAGTTTGTGGTCAAGGCTTGCACCCATTTGCTACAGCAGATGCTCCCGATTTCACTTTGGTAAGTGAATGTGTTTAATTGTAGGCAGGACATTACTGTATATTCTTGTGTAATTGCTACAGAATAATTTATGTTACACTTTGTTATTGCTACAGGAGAATATTTATTTTATTATTTACATTTACATTTTTTTCCTGGGGACCCTGTGACACCCCATTGAAGAGCCGTAGGCTGGATCTCTTAAGATCTCACTGTTGGGCTTGTAAGGCCATGTTACTCTTAAATTTCTATCTTGTTCAAAGAGAAGATATAAAACAAAGTTCTAAGCTAATCGACTTTAGTGTTCTCCTTTTTTAAAAATAAGAATCCATAAGAGAATCGATAAAGAATCGAATCGTTAAACAGAATCGAAAATGGAATCGGAATCATTAAAATCTTATCAATACCCATCCCTAGGACTAATACAGCATTAGGTTTATTTAGCTGTAGTTTTACTTTTACTGGAGTCTTTTTTCACGCAAGTATCTATGCTTCATCTTAAGTAAATAATTTCTGTACTTTTGGTACCCCTATCTTTAGGATTTGACAAAATAACTGTATCTAATATTCAATTCCTTTTCATGTAACATGAGTACACTTTCTGTTTCCGAATATTAGCTCTATTGCTACCCTGTCCAATATTCTCCTGCCCTTCTGATTTGTGGTGAAGTGCTACTATACTAGTATTAGTAATTGTAGTCAGAAGAGATTTGTATATTTCTTGTGAGCATTAGCTTACTTTGTCTCACTCTTGTCAATATATAAATTCCTACGCTCTTTCATAGTACAAGGGGTGGCTGTAGAGCAGGTCATCTACTGATCAGAAGGTTGGTGGTTCAATTCCTGGCTTCTCCTAGTCTGCATGCCAAACATCCTTGGGCAAGATACTAACCCCAAATTGCTCCCCGATGCATCCGTCGGAGTATGAATGTGTGTGTGAATGTCAGTTAGAAAGCACTTAGAAAATGTGCTGGTGTGAATGGGTGAAAGCACAAGTTGTGTAAAGTGCTTTGAGTGTTCAGAAGAGTAGAAAAGCACTATATAGAAACTAGTCCATTTACCATTTATCATATTCCAGGAGCCTGCGTTTCATTTCAGCTGTGTTGTTGTGTATTGTAGACTATACTATTTTTACTGTTTATCATGCTACTGTAACAGAAAAATGTCCCTTGTTGGATCAGTAAAATATTTATTTAATGTGGATAGCATTCATTTGAATAACACTGACTACAATGAAAATTTAGCTGTAACCACAAAAAAGAAAGTTATTTTACTGCTTTTATAGGAGCTCAAACCCAACCCAAGGACGTACCAGGCTTAGAGCTGCACTGTGGTTTTAGTGTTTTTCAGAGTGTTCAGTGGTTAGGAATTTTTTTTTCTGTTTATTGAGCTTCATTTATGCAAGTAATGTACTTAGGTCAAAGGTGAAGGGCACAGAAATATTTTATAGATGCATTAACATTTTGTTATATAAAATACAAAAACAATTGCATCCATAAGTATTTGACCTGATTTTGCCTCTTATTAAAAAGTGCTGAAGTTTAATTACATTTTTTGTTTAATTCAGGTTCTTTTTTTTTCTACTTTTGAAGAGGTTTTATGTAGTGTGCTATTGTCTGCTTCATCTCTAGTTCACTGAAGCATATTATTGCCACCTTAGTATTTTCTTTATTGGCTTTGTTTTTCCTTTGTTTCTTCTCTATTTGTTCTTCCTTTCTTCCGTCTTTAATTGTTTCTCATCTTTTGTTTATTTTTCAGTCTTAAGTTTCCAGTGAGGAAACGTGAAACTGGAAACCTTACTATGTTTTTGCTCTATTGTCATTCCATTTCTTATATTATCTTTTTAGCCTTTTCTTTTTTAATTTATTTAATTTTTTTCTGCTTCCCAATCTAATGCCTTTGCCTAAATGCATTTTCATTTTGTGTTAGTTTTGGTATTAAGTATAATAGCAAATAGTATACAGTAGATTTAAAAAGTATATTTGTATAATTGTAAGTAATACGTTCATGATTTAAGAAAGGAGCAAAGAATGGAGGGATCAGTAACTTGTTCTCCTTCTTTCATTTTCTGCTCTAGAAAGAAAGAAAGGACAACACAGAAGGGTTATACATACACGTACATGCACACACATGCTCTGCCCCAACCTCTGTTGCTAGGTTACTGCTGCGTCTTAATATTCAGCCATTTCACACAGTTGCATCACCCTCTGTGAGTGCTGGAGGTGGAGTCTCATGATGTTCCACCGTGGAAGGAAATGACTCTTGTTTATGAGTGACATCATGTCCTCTATCCACATTAGAGGACATCTTCTCTACACACACACACACACACACACACACACTGCCCCAAGTGGAGCAGTCCACATATCTCGAGTCTTGTTCCTGAGTGAGGGGAGAGTGAACGGTGAGATTAGCAGACCGAATGGGGCACCATTTGCATCTGTTGTGGTGAAGAGAGAGCTGAGCATTAAAGCAAAGCTGTCGATTTACCAGTCACACATTGTGTTTTCAGAGGCAGTATGCTTTAAAATTAGAACCGCAAATGAAAAGGAGTTATGAAAAATGTGTCCAAACTAAATCTACATCCCAGAATTTAAATCGGACTGACAGATATGAGTTTCTTGAAATATGAAGAATTACCTGTGTAGCCAAAATGGATTGATTATGTCATTATTTGAAATAACTACAGTACTAGATAAAGCAATTATTAATATTTGGTAGATATTTAAAGCATTGTGATCCATAGTGCACAGTGTGTTGAAGCTAGAGTATAGTGCAGCATTTTATAAAGAGCAGTGACTGGTGGCTTTTGTCACAGCTAATCTTTTCCTCCCCTCTGTGTTTTTTTCCTCCCACTTTCATCTACACACATGAGGGCTTTGTCTTTTTGTTTTATTTGGAAACGCAGTTGGTAACAACATTAATATCCCAAAAGTTGTTTCTGTTCATCTGGACGTAGCGTTTTCAGTGGGAGAAACATTTTGTCACTCATCCAAGTGACTGCAGGTTTCCAAAATTATAAACAGTACATTTGCATAATGACTGAAACCAGCCCACTGAATGATTCATGGTCTGGTAGGTCAGTTCTTGATCATTATTATGCAAATTGGCATGACCATTGATCAACAACAACTGATCAATGGCCATGAGTACCATTCGCAGAGAGTTGGGGAATGGGTGCAAACACAGCATTGTAAGATAGTGAACAATACAGCATTAATATTTTATGTCTTACTCTGATTTAGAACTTCCCTGCCTGCAAGGAATGCACTATTATCTCTGTTGCACTGAACTGCGTGCCATTTTTTCAGTTATTGTGTGTGAATGTGTGTATGAATGGGTGGATGACTGGATATGCAAAGCGCTTTGGGGTCCTTAGGGACTAATAAAGCGCTATATAAATACAGGCCATTTACCATTTATTATCTGTATGTCATCTCTATTCTTCATCCTGGTTTAGTTCATAAAGTTTCACTTTCACCTCAAGAGAACATGTAAGGATTCTGGCATGCTACTTAGCAAAGCTAATCAGAAACTATACCCAGGATAATACTGAGCTATTAGCACTTTGGACTAGTTTGCATTCTAATTTTATTATTAAACAAAACCACACTCTGGGAATATGATGGCACCACTCACCCACGAGCGTTTCAGAATAAAAAAGAAAAAAAAAACCTTTATTTTATTTTATAATTTTTATAAAGCCAGCTACCAATACTAATGCGCTTTTATTATTAAATATATTATTACATTTATAGAAAAATAATAAGTGTCAAAATTACTGCCTGCAGGATAGTAGTTTGTGTCACAATCTGGTTGTAGGAACTCAGGTGTTAGATGTCTCCAAAAAACAGTTTATTTACAGCACCAGTGCACAGTATATCCAGTGAAGGGAATCCAAAACTCCAGGGAATCACAGGGTAGCTCTCTCACACTCGCTCACGTCTTCTTCCCACACTCACACACGTTCACACGGCAGGGAGGTCACAGGTCTGGGGAGGAAGGTCTGAAAGCAGGAGAGAAGGAAAGAGAAGAAACGAATCACGAATCTCAAATTACTAAGCACAAGTTCACAGGAGCTGCGAGAAACACTAACATCAGTAGTACAATCATCCAGTGACAAGAGGAATTGTGTTCCAGCCTCAAATAGTGCTCCCGGTGATGACAGGTGATTGTTGTCAGGTGTGTGGGTCAAGGGCGGGAGCCCACAGTGAGCTCCGCCCAGGCAGAGAGGGAGAGAGAGAGAGAGAACCAAAACAGCACATGTAGCTTTGTGGGGCCGGCCGGGCAGGCACGGAGACCATGACAGTTTGAGACTGAGTTGAATGTGTTGCATCTCTTTGTTTCACTCTGCAGGTGTGGAAGGAAGAGGAGAAAAGTGAAAAAGGCAATTTAAAGCGTTTATTTGATTTTGCATTCAGGTGGAGCATGTCGGGACCAGGACATACTATTTCAGCACAGACAGCTATGCAGAACAGGAAGAGTGGATCAGAGCCCTGAGTGATGCTGCTGAGGTCACTAGTCAACCAAGAAACAGGTTTACACACACACATGCATGGAGCTATAAAGAGATTGAAAATGTGACATCATTTTGGGGTAAAACCGCAAAGGATTGTGGGTACGAGTGGCAAGCGGTACTAGCGCACGCAGGCTTTCACGTGAAAACAGTTACACAGCCATAAAAAGAAACACAAAGAATGGCAAGAAGCTGTTGTAGTATAAACTGCAATATCCGGTCGCATAACACTCACGGGAAGCGTCGTGGAAGAGAAATTGTTTAAGCCATGTTTCTGAAGTAACAAAGAGCCGACGGATGGCCTGGATTGCAGCCATTCGAAGACCAACTATATAATACAATACAATACAATTTTATTTATATAGCACATTTAAAAACCCGAAGGCACACCAAAGTGCTTCACAGTAATATGAAGAGTCAACTATAACGTCCCAGAACACTCCAGCTCACATGTTAGTCTGCTCCAAGCATTTCCACAAAGGTAAGTCTTCTGTTGTAGTTATTACGTAATTTATCATAACATAATTATTGATGTAGGTTACAATCAAGTCTTATATTGATTTGAATTGAATTCATTGCGCTATGCTGCTTTGTTCACTGTGGCTTTGCGGGCTATTATTTCTTGTGTTTTGTAAGAAAACCAGCCTACAAAATGCTGGAATGTGATCCAGACTGGGCCCCTCTATCAACCTGGGTCAGACCGAGTTTAAAGCTGCTACCACAGCGAGATTTGAGAGAGAGAGAGCGATATCAAAACAGCCACGAAAAGTCCTGCATATATGTGCCCAAGTGTTGTATTGAAGCAATCAATTGATGAATAACTGTTTTCCAGTATGTTGTTTTGCAATGGCTTATTTTGTTGCATTGTTGATTTGTTTTTCACCGAAGCAGCTAATAAAGCGTGATGGAATACAATTTTGCCTCTTTCTTGTAAGATTCTATAATAGAACGAAACAATAATGCCAGTTACAAATAAAGACTATAATTGAATGAATTACAAAACACTAATTTTATTTCTAATAGATCTGAGAATGTTGTGTAACACTACAACCTGAAACGACAACTAGATTGCGTTGACCTGTACAGGAGATAAAGGGGGAAAAATTAACAACAGCTGTGAAATGGAATAGTCCAAATCACCAAAGTAAGTGAGTGAGTAAGTAAGTGAGTGTATGCACTCACACTTAGGACCATATAATAATAAATATTTGCGTGATGAAAGTTGGGCAGCACGCTAACGTCCTTACTCCACTCTGTATGCTTGTATGGGTCTTACCCTTTCACTCCTTTGATTTTTTTCCTCGTACATTTTTTTGCCTTTTCGTCACGTCTGTCTTTGTACGGAGCTGCCGTGTTCTCCTTCGTTTTGTACATAACAGTTTTTGGGGCAAATAAAATGCAAGTAGGGATTAAAACCGCAGAAATAACGATTACCTGTGCTGGAAATGCTAGCGCTTGATGCAGTGTTTTGATTTTGTTGCCACTCGTACCCACAATGCAATGTGCGAAAGTCACGTGGTCTGTCAATCTCTATACATGGCACTTGAAAATATGTATATGTATATATTCAGCCATAGTCTATTGGGCCAATTCATTTGAACCTATCCAGATTTCCAGTCAGATTGGTGTGAATGCAAGCCAGGCAAGAGATAAATGGAAAATTTGGATCATGTTGTTATTTTGCATGAAAAGAGCAGAAATGTACAAAAGGTCAACTTATCCCCAAGGCCATAGCCAGGGCATAATTGTAACCACATAGCAGATCCATTTTTATCAGCAAATACAGACTCCTTTCCTAAAACCAGTGAATTGACAACTTGGTTATTGATCTCTTGGTTATTGGTTATTGATCTCTATCAGTCCTAACTACAGTACACAGTACAAGAGCCAAGGCTGTGAATTACTACAGAATAAATAGTGGCAGAGTTGAGTGGCACAATTTGACATGAAATGAAAAGAATATTTTAATGATGCAACTTAGCAGGTGAATAGACTTATGTGGCTCAGAAAATGAATGTTTTTGATCATATATTACAAGATCTGAGTGAGTATTTGTTCTGTGTCTGTTAGCTTGCCATCACCAGTGTGTGAATGTGTGCATGAATGGGCGGATGACTGGATGTGCAAAGCGCTTTGGGGTCCTTAGGGACTAGTAAAGCGCTATACAAATACAGGCCATTTACCATTTCACAATTTAGAAATGTTGATGTCACAGATCACTTTCATATTTTAAAGATTGATCCAGCCATCCATTCTCTCCCCCTTATCAGGGTCACGGAGAGAGGCAGGGTACATCCTGGACAGATTAACAGCTTAATGCTAATACTGATTAAATGCAGAGGTGTATAAACACATAGTGAGTGGAACAGGTGACTGAAGAAGAAATACTCATAATAGAAATCCCCCAGTAGCCTACACCTATTGCAGTGTAACGCGGGAGAGGAGGATTCAGGGTCACCTGGTCCAGCCCTAACTATATGCTTTAGCAAAAAGGAAAGTTTGAAGCCTAATCTTAAAAATAGAGATAGTGTCTGTCTCCTGAATCCAAACTGGAAGCTGGTTCCACAGAAGAGGGGCCTGAAAACTGAAGGCTCTGCCTCCCATTCTACTTTTAAATACTCTAGGAACAACAAGTAGGTCTGCAGAGCGAGAGCCCATCCATCCATCCATCCATCTTCATCCGCTTTGTCCGGGGCCGGGTCGCGGGGGCAGCAGCCTTTGCAAAGAGGCCCAGACCTCCCTCTCCCCAGCCACCTCCTCCAGCTTGTCCGGGGGAATACCAAGGCGTTCCAGGCCAGCCGAGAGATATAATCTCTCCAGCGTGTCCTGGGTCTGCCCCGGGCCTCCTCCGGTGGGACATGCCTGAACACCTCACCCAGGAGGCGCCCAGGGGCATCCTTGTCAGATGCCCGAACCACCTCAGCTGGCTCCTTTCGATGTGAGCAGCAGCTGCTCTACTCTGAGCCCCTCCGGATGGCCGAACTTCTCACCCTATCTCTAAGGAGAGGCCAGCCACCCTTCGGAGGAAGCTCATTTCTGCCGCTTGTATCCGCGATCTCGTTCTTCGGTCACTACCCACAGCTCGTGGCCATAGGTGAGGGTAGGGACGTAGATCGACCGGTAAATGAGAGCTTCACTTTTACACTCAGCTCCCTCTTCACCACGACGGACCGGTGCAGCGTCCGCATTACTGCAGCTGCAGCCCCAATCCGTCTGTCGATCTCCGGCTCCCTTCTCCCATCACTCGCGAACAAGACCCCGAGATACTTGAACTCCTCCACTTGGGGCAGGAACTCATCCCCGACCCGAGTGGCACTCCACCCTTTTCGGCTGAGAACCATGGCCTCAGATTTGGAGGTGCTGATCCTCATTCCCGCTGCTTCACACTCGGCTGCGAACCGTTCCAGTGCGAGCTGGAGGCCTTCACCCGATGAAGCCAACAGAACCACATCATCTGCAAAATCAGAGATGAGATTTTGAGGCCACCAAAGCGAAAGCCTCCGCACTTGGCTGCGCCTAGAAATCCTGTCCATAAAAATTATGAACAGAACCGGAGACAAAGGGCAGCCCTGGCGAAGCCCATCACCCACCGGGAACGAGTCCGACTTATTGCCCGCAATGCGAACCAAGCTCTTGCAACGGTTGTATAGGGATCGAATGGCCCGTAGCAATGAGCGAGAGCGAAGTGCTCTAATGGGGCATGGAACCCTGTGGAACTACATTATTAACCCTAGTGTGTGAAGACGACTCTCACTTTACATAACCAAATTGGAGTATATTAGATAGATATGATACAAACCACTGCAGTGCAGTACCTGTAATACCTACAGTGCGCTTTTATCGCTCTGGAGTTCCTATGCCCATCAACTCATCCAGCTCAATCAGGGCGACACCAAGTGAGTCCCATGCTAGCGAGAGATATAATCTCTCAGCAAACCTAGGTGTGCCCCAGGGCCTCCTCCTGGTAGGACATACCCAGAATACCTTACCTAGGAGTCATACTGGAGGCATCCTATTAAGATGCCTGAACCACCTTAACAGACTCCTTTCGAAGTGGAGGAGCAGTGGCGCTACTCCAAGGCCGTCTTAAGTAACCAAGCCCCTCACCCATCTCTAAGGCAGAGTCTTGCCGCTCTTCGAAAAAAAAAAAAAATTTCTGCCAGTTGTATTCTTGACTTCATTCTTTCGTCCACTACTAACAGCATGTGACCACAGGCGAGGGTATGAATGTAGACTGACTGGTAAATCGACAGCTTTGCTTTAATGCTCAGCTCTCTCTTCACCACAACAGATGCAAATGGTGCCCCATTCGGTCTGCTAATCTCACCGTTCACTCTCCCCTCACTCAGGAACAAGACTCGAGATATGTGGACTGCTCCACTTGGGGCAGTAACTCTTTCCTTGTGACAAGTTATTGCTATTAACTATTATTTAATTTTATGGCTACTTCTTGTATTTACCTTGTGTTCCATCTAATTTTTGCTGGTCTTTTGTTGGTTTCAAGCAATGTCTTATTGATTTTCTATTTCTTTTACCTCACTTTGCTTTATTTTTATTATCTTTTTTTGGGGGGGGGGGGGGGTGGTGCTATCTTTTTGCTTTTTTAAAATTTATGAATGCTGTTAATAGTTATTATTTTGACCAAAGCTAATTTCAATTGAGGGTGTGTGGGAGTTTGCCCAACCAGTCTACATGTGTTTTGTGGCATTCGACCAGGTCCCTGGAGGAAACCTGTGGGGCTGCTTTGGGCGTACAGGGTGTCTGTCCAGTCGATGGAGGCCATTTAGACCCTGTACAACTGCAGGAAGATCTTGGTTGTATTGCCGGCAGTGAATCAGACTAGTTTATGGTGTATTTTTAGACTGCCAGGGCTGCTCTTTGTCACCAATTCTGTTTATAGTTTTTTTTTCATTAGTCCTTTATTTATCCAGGTAAAAATCTCATTGAGATTAAAAATCTAATTTCCAAGAGAGACCTACCAGCAAAAGCCAAAAATACATGTACCACATAAGTACATAACAATTAAAATAAATACAATATCCCATACAAACGTTAAAAAAATGCAATAACTGATCATTATGAGGTATATTAGAAACAATCACACTGATTTTGAGTGGTTGCAGAGAGACTTCTGTTGATTAAGCTGTTTTAAATCTGGATAGAAAGATTCAAATAAAGACCCTGATGAAAGAAAATGCCCATTAAAGCAGTTTAAGATGTCACATTTTTCTGTTAACGTGCACACTGGCAACTCATTGGTAGTTATGTCCCCATGAGAAGATTTTCTTATTTTTCATTTTTTTATTATATCCAGAATTTTTTAGGGTCATTCAGATGTTTAGTTGTTTTTTAAAGACAGAATTCTGATTTGGCCTTTTTAATTATGGAGGTTGAACGAAGTCTGAGCTGTCTAAAAATCAGACAATCCGCTTCAGACTGAGTTTTTCTGGCCTGAGCCCAGGCAGCATCCCTTTTTTGAGGAGACTGGATAGCTGAGGAGAAAACCAAGGGTTGTTTCTGCACTTTACTCTAAATTTGCGCATGGGGGCATGTTTATTTATAATTTTGATAAAACTGCCATACAAATAATTCCATCTGAGCTCAACATCAGTGATCAGGTGGATTTTATTCCAGTTATAGTCCCATAAAACTCGAAAGAAAGCTTGCTCACAGAAATGCTTCAAATCTTATTTAAAAACTATTTGTGGTCTCGATTTTGGGACCTTCAGTTGTTTGACTACAGTTATCAGACAGTGGTCACTGATATAATTTGCAAAAAACCCAGTGTGAGAATATTTACAGTATTTACAGCGTGTCAGTTAAAACTAAATCTATAAGTGACGACTTTTATGGGCATTTAGGATTTGGATGAGTTGTAAATTAGTTGTGTGAGATTGTATGAATCACACATAGATTTAAAAAAGTCTGAGGCAGAAGACGACCAGTCCCAGTTGAACTCTTCAGCCAGCACAATTTCATCAAAATCTAATGTAGATAGTTTTTCACTAAATTAAATTCAAGCCTCACTACTAGCCGAGGGGTGTCTGTAACAGCCCACAATGGTGATAAAATAGCCTTTGAAAACCTCCAAAAAGTTGATTCTGTTCATCTGGATGTAGCGTTTTGTGGGAGAAACGTTTTGTCGCTCATCCAAGTGACTTCTTCAGTCTCAGCAGGTTTCCCCAATCTTATAAACAGCACATTTGCATAATGACTGAAACCAGCCCACTGATCATTGGTCATGAGAATTTGCATAATTAAGATTACGGAACTGAACTTAATTAGGAACTTTTTTACATAAATTGCAAAACCGCCACCCTGGGGCAGTCGCAACAGAAAAGCCGTTATTGTGATGTCTGTCAGGAATTGATTTTGTAAGCCAGGTTTCTGTCACGGTCCGGGTCAGCGGCCGTGTGAAGAGTGGAAGGAGGACTCAAACGCAGCACTATTTCAGACGTGAAGGGTGATTTATTGACAATACCAAACATAAAGTGGAGATGGCAAAAATTGAACTCAGGACGAACTAAACTGGGAGAAACTACACAAAGGAGTGGCAAACCTGAACATGAAGGGAGAACAGCAGGGAGAGCACGCAGGGGATTTCACAGGGTATGAACACAGACGACGCGACGAGGAGCAGAGGAAAACACACACTATAAGTACACAGAGAGACACTGGGAAATCACACACAGGTGGGGGGAACAGCTGGACCTGATTAACCTGACGAGACAGGGGAACACTAACACCAGGGACCAATAGAGGGAGCACAAACCCAAAACCCAGTATCTAAAATCCCAAACACAAACCATCCCCAAACAGCCACGAATAATAATGAAAGTAATAACAATAAAGAACATAAACACAAAGTCACTGAGTCATGGCCACAGGACCATGACAGTACCCCCCCCCTCAAGGGCTGGCCCCCGACAGCCACAGAAACACACCACCTGCGGGCGGCAGGGGGCCCAGGACGGAGGGACCGGGCCATGACCAAAGATGGAGGCCCCAGAGTCCCAAAATAAGGCACACAAAACTCACAGGGGAGCAGAGTCCGAAACACAGTTCAGGTGGCCGGCCTGGGGCCCGATAACACAGGAGGCCAGGCCAGGAGGCCTCCTGAACTGTCCCATCCTGGCCTCCAACTAAACATCATTGCCAGACCTGGCCCACATCTGGCTGACATACACCCTGCCATGACACCAGTCAGTCAGAAGTGCCAACTTGATGCCGGATCCAGGCCAGTCCTGTTTCCTATGAGCCTGGGCCACATAAACCAAGCCACAATCTGGCCAGATGTGGCATGCCATCACATAAACAGTGACCCAAAACCCATATCTCTATGACATACCACTTACCATGCCAGAAGTCAGCCAGCAATGGGTGATGGTGGAACCTGACTGTGAAAAAATATCTAGACATAGCTAAGTGATAGCCTTCAGGCTTCATCAGGTGGTGACCACCAGTTTGCACTGGAGCTTTTTGTGGCCGAGTGTGAAACGGCGGGAACAATAATTAACACCTCCAAGTCTGAAAGGGCAGAGCACCGACTGCAGATCAGGGCCGAGTTATACCCCCCAAGCAGTGGAGCTGAAGTATCTCACGTATTTGTTCCCAACTGAGGGGAGAATGGAACACTCCCTCACGTTATCTGTCAACATGAGATAATACAACACATGAGCTCTGTTGTGGCAATGAGAGAGCTGAGAATAAAAGCGAGGATGTATTTTTACCAGGCAATCTGTGTTCCTATTCTCACCCTATGGTCACAAGCTCTCATTAGTGGATGAAACAATCAGGTTGTGGACACAAGTGGAATAAATTTCTTTAGAAGAGTAGCTAGGCCCTCCCTTAGAGATAGGGTGAAGAGCTTGGTTATTCAAGAGGGACACAGTGTAGAACGGCTGCTCCTCTACTTCTGCTTCTGTGCCAGTTGAGGTAGTTGGGCATCAGACTAGGATTCCTCCTGGACGCTTCCTAGGTGAGCTATTCCAGGCATGTCCTACGGAAAGGCCCTGGAGCAGGACAAGTCCCTGGCACATACCAAGGACTCAGCAACAACAGAAACTACTATTATTAAATAAATAAGTGGGGTAATATCGGTAACAGTGACTCTTGACTCTTTGGTGCCGTACTCTGCTTGATCTTTTGGTGTCAGATCCAGTGCTGTCCTAATTCTCATTCATTCTTTTTCTTCCAAATACCCAGGAAACACCAAGATTTTATCAACCACAGCATGGAGACAAAGCCTCATAACTCACAAACACAACACTTATGCTCTCACATAAATGATAGAATGGAAGGGAAAAGTGAAGAAGCTGAAGGGGGAAGAACAACTCCTCCTCCTAGTGCCATGCCCCTCAACAGCAGTAGTAAACCCCCTCCATCCAACAGCCACAATGGACATCAACCAGCTGAGGGACATGAAGAGCCAGGTGTTGGTTTATCATATGAGCCCAGGGAACAACAGGAGAATGTGGTGCTGAGGAGAGGTTTTGTCCCAAGGACAGCTCCAGAGAGGTTGGCCCAAAGAAAGTGCTCAATGGCTCAACTGCAACAGTGGGTCAACCAGCGGCGGGGCATGGCCTCGCAAGAAGACATCAACAGGTAGCTCAATTTAGAAGAGAAGAAATATAACTGCTCTTTGTGTCTCCAGGTCTTCAAATATTATAAGTTATTTACTATGATTTTACACTGGCACAGTGATCATTGAATTACGTGCACACTAATAATGTAAACTATCAGAAATACAGATTATATACATTATTGTTGATTATTTTAATGGAATAGAAAACCTTTCAAAAACAAATATTAAAGCAGTGCACAACTTGTTTTGTAAGGCTGTTTGAAGAAGTGTTGGTTCTCAAATGATTTTCTATAGTTTTCAGACACCTTTGGCACTAACCAAATTATTCACACTTCTTATTTAATCCCAAAAAAATATTATCACACTAATTTCAAAGATCCCATAATTAAATAAAACCTTTCAACTGTTTTTATTTTCATCTTTTCTGTTTTGTATTGTTTGTCTATAACTGCTATTTCATGAGTAAGTTTCCTTTCTGTGTTTCTAGAAAGACTTAATTTGATTTGTTTTATGAAAATGTAATGTATATATATAAAAATTAATGTGTATTTTAAAAAGGGAAAAATGTAATTTTAGTCTTTATCCTATTGTGTTTCTTAAAGAAGAACTAGACCAAGATAAACTTTCACACATTCAAATAGTTTTTCATGTCGGAAATATTCTCTAATTTTTCCTGTGCTTTCAGGCCACCCTCTTACTATTCTGTGAACCAAGAAGTCTCAGCTGGCTACTATAACTTTGTGGACGAATACTCTTTGTACCTACCAGGGGTCCGACCAGACAGCATCTGCTCTATGTCTGCTGTGGGGGGCTATGACAGACTATGGACTATTGAGCAAAAGCGACACTCTCTGAGGGATGAACCCCACCGGTTGTACAGGAAACAGATGCCCCAAGACCAATGGGGGCCACAGTACTATGGTGGAATGGAAACATCCATGAGGAGCCTGTTTATTCAGCCACGCTCCAAGTCTGTGCCCAGATCACCATCCTCATCATCGAGGCGGCCCTATTCACCAGCGTCATGCACCTATGCCTCACCTGCTCGATCACTATCCAATGGTTTTGACCGGTTTTCAGGGAGGATGAATGAAGATGCAATCTATCCACCAGTCTACAGTCTGAGAAGATCTTTCAGCTCCCCAAAGGTGAACCGGTTTACTGTGTTTGTGTGTAGCTTTGAGAAACTAATGTTTGATAAGTCTTTGAATAACATTTATCAATACAGAAAGTCAGCAGGGATCAAATCAAGACTCTCCAGTTTTGATATAGTGACACCATATTCATCTAACACCACTCTGACACTCTCACTCACCTTACTTCTATTTTGTCCTTTCTTCTTTCTATGTTCTCTTCCCTACTGCCTTTAGTATAACTACCATGGTGATAGGAGATCATTAAACCAAGGATTATACCACCACAACTACCCTGTTTCCCCTTCTGTTCACAGTAAAATGGTATGTGCTGCAAAAGTATGTAAATTGTACTTAATGCACTTCATGCTGTGGCATATGTAACTTTGTATTGTAAATGCTGTCAGCTGTGGGGTCTGGCATTAATTATCTGTATGTCCAAGTAGAGATGTCTGATCCATTTTGGTTACCTTGGCTTTGGGTATCTACTGATAATAAGCAATGATTGGGTACCATTAATACACTGTATTTGTGATTGTGAAAAATAAACTAGGAATGATATGCAAAGGGGACATTAAGGATGACTTTCACATTTTGGTCTTGTTTTTAAAGGAACTTTACAAATATATATTTATTGCATATGCATTTATTAAAACAATACATCATAAGATCAAAATAATAAGATAAAGAGTTGCTATCTATACAATATTTGTCTTTTTGATTTCCACGCTTGCCACCAATGCTGCTGCTTGGTTCAGGAGGATATATTAGATTTTCAGCTCCAGCGCAACCTGGATTACCTAGATCAACAGGTAGGAGGAAACATACAGTAGTGTTTGCCAATAAATACTTTATACACACCATTTTTCATAATTCTTGACAGTTCTTACCTACTTTACTGCCCTTTAAAATCTCTTTTCTATGTTTTTTGTGTGCTTCTCTTGTATAGAGTATCTTTGGCTGTCCATTAACTTCGAAAATATGATTCCTTTATAACAGTTCAAATATTGTTCCAGTTGTCCTGTCATACAACTTTCTTCTCTGGTCTATAATCCAAGCTTCAGTTACTCAGGGAAAGCTCTCTATTTGGGATGGTCCCCAATTTTTTCGAGCACTCACCCTCAACAACAAAGTAGAAGTAAGGAAAGTAGCAGCCCCTGAGGAGGCAGGCTTCAGTTGAGACTAAACGTATTTATAACACCACCATAACAACAAAATGTCATTTATTTTGCTCTTTTTGTATGGTATAGTGTCCTAAATAGTCAGCCTAATTTAATGTGTTGCCTACCTTCATTTCTTATTGAAGTCAAAATCAAATTAATGTATTGGCTGTGTAATGTGGGATACAGACTTTGGAGATTACATACATGAAAACTCCCATTTTTATTTATGCTTTGAATTACAGTGGAACCCCGACTTACGAAATTAATTCATTCCCGAGGGTCTTTCTTAAATCGAAAATTTTCACAAGCCGAAGCATCCATCGCGCGTTTTGACTGAGGCGATGCTGCACGATAGGCTATAGGCTAATTGCTAACTAGAACAACAATATGTCATTCAAGTGGAACAGCGAAGCGCAAGTACGGAAGCCAAGGGGTTGTCACATGATTCGAAAGGCATTGTGGGCATTGTAGGCTCAGCCAATCAGAGCCAGCGTATTTTGTTACTCGGGCATTTTGCCGTAACACGGGCAAAAATATTGACGTTCAGTGCCTTCGTAACTTGAATTTTTTGTGAAACGGGGTATTTGTATGTCGGGGTTCCACTGTATTTGAAATTTTTTGACACCAACAAGTTGGGATGTCCTTAATATGCTCATCTTAAGTGCACAGTTCTGGTTATGATAGCTGCTGTCCACCTACAGTTAGGCCCATAAAAGTTTGGGCATTGACACAATTTGTGTAATTTATGTCTCTGTACATAACAACAGGGAATTTTAAATAAGAAAAAATGAAGTAAAGGCTTCAAGACCTTCAACAAAAGTACTGAATTAACTGTTTCCAGCCATAGTCCCACATTTTCAGGGGTTTATAAGTAACTATACTAAATGCTTAATACTTGGCTGTTTCTGTACCTGAAGGTTTGAACCGCCAGAGAGCATAGCCGTGTAAACCTCAGAATTCATCCTGCCAATTCAATCAGCAGTCACATCATTATCATCATCAGTAGTGACCTGCTTCCAAATGCAGCCATACATGTCCATGCCATAACACCTTCAACATGTTGGAAAGATAATGTTGTTCCTTTAGTTCTCCATACTTTTCTCTTCCCATCAATCAGGTACCAGATAATCTTGTACCGGAATCTTGTTTAATCTATCCAAAAATTGTTTTTGTTCTCTTGCTTAGTGGCAAGTGGCAGACCACAGTAACATCCCTAAAAAGGATTCAGTAACCATCACAGTGGCAGACATCTCCAAGAAAGTGTCTCAAGCATGAAAAGTTACACAGTACCAGGCCCTAACATGATTCTAACCTACTGGTTAACAAAGCTAATTACACTCCACAAATGTCTCTCAGCACAAATGAACCAGCCGCTAATGGATGAGATACACAGAGAATGGCTAACTGAAAGACAGACAGTCCTGATACCCACGGATCCCCATATTGCACCGGTCACATCCAACTACCGACAAATAACCTTCAGCTCAACATGGAAGCTCCTGTCAGGCATCATAGTAGTTAGCATGAACAGGCACATGCAGAGGAGCAAGAAGGGGACTATTATGGAAAGACAGGTCTGTGCACCGCATCTACCACTGGCAGATAGAAGACATAGCTGATGTCAAGAAATCCTACAATGGCTAGAGAATGCTAGACTCAAAGAAAGCACAGAGGAAATAATCAAGACAGCACAGGAACATACTCTAAGCAAAAGATCCCAGGTGCAGGCTGTGCAGAGATTCCCCCAAGACAAGCAAGTAACAGCAGGGCGCAAGATAATCGCAAGTAGGGAATACATGAAATGCCCTAACCAAGTGACTAGCATAGTATACAGGGATATCTGTGCTGGGTATGGCCTGGAGGTCCAGAGGTCAAACTACCCTTGTCTTGCCTCCCAAGGGTAGTTGAGATTGACCAACCTAAGATCCTGTGGGACTTCCAGATACAAATTGATAAACAGCTGATGGCTAATCAACCGGACATAGTAGAGGTGGACAAGCAGAGGAGGATGACACCAGTGATAGATGTAGCTATACCAAATGATAGAAACACTAGGAAGTAGGAACATGAGAAACTTGAGAAATAACAAAGAGAGAGGAGTTCAAAAAGACCGTGAAGGGAACAGTAGTCCTCATGCTGGTCCATGCCAGTGCGCTTGAATGAGAGTACCCTTAACACTACTGGGTGTTTTTGAAATGGCCCACTGGTTCACCAGCTCACAATCAGAGTACGATGCACACCAAATGGACTGGACTGGTTCTTATATAACGCTTTTCTACTCTGAGCATTCAAAGCGGTTTACACATCTTGCTTCACATAAGCACTTTTTTTTATATGCTATTTCTATGTAAGTGCCTTCTATCTAACATTCAGATGCATTCATACTCCGATGGATGCATCAGAGAGCAACATAGGATTAGTATCTGAACCAATAATTAGTAGGCGACCTGCTTTACCACCTAAGTTACAGCGTCACTGGTGCATGTCCTCCCAAATCCCCGGCCAATGAAATTGGGCCATTATTCATTCCATCCATCCATCCATTTTCTTACACTTATCCTGGACTGGGCCGCGGGGGCAGCACCCTAAGTAGAGAAGGCCAGACCTCCTCCAGCCTCTTTTCTAGGGGAACACCAAGGCCTTCCCAGGCCAGCTGAGAGATCTCTCCAGTCACTACCCAAAGCTCATATCATAGGTAAAGGTAGGGATGTAGACCAACCAAGAAATTGAGAGCTTCGCTTTTACGCTCAGATATCTCTTCACCACAACAGACCGGTACAGCATCCGCATCACTGCAGCAGCTGCACCAATTTGTCTGTCAATCCCCCGCTCTCTTCTCTCCTCACGCATGAAAAAAACCCTGAGATAATTAAACTCCTCTACTTGGGGCAGGAACTCATCCCTGACCCAGAGTAGGCACTCGACCCTTCCGGGGCCGATTCTCATACCCGCTGCTGCTCTAGTTTGAGTTGGAGGCCATCACTTGATGAAGCCAACAGAACCCCGTCATCTGGTGGACCAGCGCTGGCCCTTGGTCACCACCAGGGTCTTGCCAGCAATGCGTACCAAACTCTTGCAATGGTTGTATAAGGTTTGAATGACACCCCATACTCCTGAAGCACCTGTCATATGTGGTCAAATGCCTTCTCCAAGTCAAAACACATGCAGACTGGTTGGGCAAACTCACATGCCCCATCAAGTATCCTCCATAGCATGAAGGGCTTGTCCAGTATTAAAACCGCATTTTCCCTCTTGTATCGACTAACAGACGGAAAATCATTTCCAACACCTTGGCATCTAGACCCAGGAGATTTTACCCTTTCCCCCAGGGTGGAAGCAAGCAGACCGTCCCAGGCTCCGCAGCAGCAGGGAGGCCCCGCATCCCAGATCCCAATCGGACGGCCAACACCTCCCTCCAGCCCCCCCGCCCCAATGGCCAGTCATTCCTTTTGAATAATTTTTTAACCCTGTCCAGCCATCGGCAATTCGCTGCCGCCTGCTTGAAGTTGTATAGCTGGCAGTTCCACCACTGTCTGGACTAGCACCTCCAACTAGTGATGTGTTGGTCGCGAACGAAACGGCTCTTAGAGCCGGGTCTTTGAAGTGAACGACGCGAGCCGTGGTTTTTTTTTCTTCTTTTTCTCACCCTCTCTCTTGAACTTTTTTTCCGCTTCACTTCGCACGCGACCTGTGCTTTGCGCTGGGAAGAGGGGGGAGGGCTGGTAGTTACACTCTTAGTAGCACAGGAACAGAGCGGGAGGGAGAGATAGAGAAAGAGAGCCAGTGACAACAACTTCACATTAAAAAGGTATAGTAATGGTCCACAACTATTTTCAGTTGCGGATGATAAAGGATTCAGAAAGTTTATTCATGCAGGCCCATATGACAGAGAATGTACATCTTCTTTTTGTTTTTATATTTTAATTTATATTTAATTGTGTTGTGACTTGCAGTGTTTTATGTTGTTTTACTTTAAATTTGTTTAAAAGGAAAAATCTGAAAATTTAAATAGTTAAAAGTTGAAATGTAAATAGTTGGTTTTTGTATTATATGATTTCTTTTTAACATTTTATGTGGAGTGAATAAACAAAAGTATATTTAAAGTATATTTACGGCACATACAAACCCCGAAGCACGTAGAAACTCCAAAACACGTAAAAACTCCATAGCACATACAAACTCAGATGCACATACAAACCCCGAAGCACGTAAAAATTCCAAAACACGTAAAAACTTCATAGCACGTACAAACTCCGAAGCACGTACAAACCCCGAAGCACATAAAAACTCCAAAACACGTACAAACTCCATAGCACGTACAAACTCTGAAGGACGTACAAACCCTGAAGCACGTACAAACACCAAAACACGTAAAAACTCCAAAACATGTACAAACTGCATAGCACGTACAAACTCTGAAGGACGTACAAACCCTGAAGCACGTACAAACACCAAAACATGTAAAAACTCCAAAACACGTAAAAACTCCATAGCACGTACAAACTCCGAAGCACATACAAAACACAACAGAAGTGCTCCATGATGCTAGGCGCAGTGTTGAGCTTTTGTTACCTAGTGGCTACACAAGCCAGGAAGTACCAACGACTGGATTTGGTGTGTGGTAGTAACAGGTAAATGAAAAGTTTTTGAATTATTTGAATATATATGAGTGCTTGTGTATAAATACACAAACAATACACATATGCTTTTAATTGTGCAATTTAAGTGATCTAGGTAGCTCTGTTTTGGAAGTTCAGTTAACGCTAGAAATGTGTTTTGGAGTTTGTACGTGCTTTGGGATTTGTACGTGCTGTTTCAAGGGGCCACCGTATATATTTATATATAAGCATATACAAATAAAACCACTTTTTTTTTTACATTACTAATTCCTTTTCTGCATAATTTTATATTGTTGTTAATAATAAATTAAAGCAACAAAACAATCTGAAGAGCCGCTTGGGACCCGAAAGAGCCGGCTCTTCTTAGTGAGCCGAGCCGAAAGAGCCGGTTCTCTAAAAAGAGCTGGAAATCCCATCACTACTTCCAACTGTTGTGGAGGTCATCGATTTGTCATCACACTACTGGGTTTCAGCACCACTAGCACTAAGGAATAATGGTGACTGCTTATTTTATTGTACACTCAACCCCTCCCCTGCAGCTGAGATTTCACTGAAGATATACATGGAGAATCAGCTGAATTCAGGTCTGATTCACTGGCATTTATGGCATTAAAATTAAAATGTGCAAGCATAGTGACAAGAAGATCTCTAGAGTGAATTCAACATAACTGAATGTTGCACTTGGCAGGATATTTGAGCCACAGTTGTGAAAACTGCTAATTATTTATAGTCGTAGTCCCAAAATATATCAAACACTCTCGTGTGTGGCCAGAACATTGGTTGCGATACAGATTTGTTACTTACAATCTTAATGTCACCACCCCACAACACAAACAGGATTTAGTCAATCCAAAAGCAATCCGTGTCACGCTCTTTTTACCCCTTCTGCTGTGATTATCGGGGATCCCATAATTTGAAATATTGGTTTCGTTAATGTGGTCACATGTTGTTTTACTTTTTTCTCTCACACTTCTGAATTGCTTATGTTTAAGCTCAACCTTGACATTACTGTTTGCTTTCTAATTATTTATCACCCTTTTAAAGGGGTGAATTGAAATTTTTAGAAAAAAGTGGAAATTTATGATTTTGTTTTATATTATGTACTTGTTGGTTTTGTTTGTTTTTGTTGGTATGTAATTTTAATACAGTCATGTTGACTAGATTGAAAACCGTTACATAGCTCAATTTAGTCAAGTTTAACAGTACAGGAACTGTTGATCTCAGAAAGAACATAACCATTGATCTCAATAATTTTGTGAATAAATAGAATCATTGAGATTTTATTTCAATGTAAAGATGTAATTGGGCTTTACATTACTTTAATAAAGACCAGAATATATATTTTAATTTTGTTTTCGTCTCAGTGGAACAGTATACAGTCTCTGATTGATAATGACAGGCAAATCATTTTTTACAGGTGCCTCCTTTCCAGGATATAAACTACAGAGAACTGCATCCTACACTGAAACTCAATGAGATCGAAACCAGTGTAAGAGTTTTGCATTCACACCCAAATGATGTGCTTTTTATTTTTTTATACAGTGCATGGTGAGAAGTATGTGAGCACTCATTTCCCCATGTTTGTATGTCCTGTAGACTAGGAACCTAATCTCAATTTTACAGTCCACAGTAATCTCCAAAAGTTGATTCTGTTCATCTGGATGTAGCGTTTTTGAAAACGCTACGTCCAGATGAACAGAATCAACTTTTGGAGATTTACTTTCCTGGATGATTGAGAATGCATCAAGAAGTCCACAATAATATATTTACAATATAGTTTTCCTAGTTTTTGCATGAGGGTGAACATTGTCAGTAAAACAATAAAAAATATAATTACAGTAACCCTATTTATTAAATGTCTGAAATCAGTTGCTACTCAGTTTAGTGGTTGAAACTAGCAGAAGCAGATTAAGAGTCACATATTGCATACAAATGTGATGTTTTTGTGCACATATATACTATGCTGTATATTTTTTACTGACATATACACACTGCTGTCCTGTCTTTGTTTTATATTTCCTTCCTGGTGTCTCTCAAATTCACAAAATAACCACTCCTTGTTACACAGAAGCTCTTGGGGCGATTATGTGAGCAGAACCAGATTTTGAAAGACCATGAGGCAGTTGTCCACAGACTGAGAATGAATAAGGTACACAATTTTCCTCGGAAATGTGACATTTTATTGTGAAATTCTTAAGAAACGCTTCGTATGAAATCACTGGAGTTTTTTAATAGCTACTGAACACAGCAATGTACTACTGTCATGGTAAAGGAAACCCATAAAGCCTTATTTGTCCTAACCATATTTGAAGATAATATACTTTATATATCAGAGGAAAGCAGTTTAACTCAGTACATTAGAACAACCTAGCTATTAATACAACCTTACCTTTAGTCAACACTTAATTTGTGGTGACTTCAAGCTGTATTTTGTGGTGTTGTTGTACGGGACCTCTTTACACTGAAAGTTGTTTTGTTTTTCACCACCCTGGCCTCTTTTTTCATTACAGTCAGCACGACTTTGAAACAAATGTATTTCAACTGGAGGAATGTCTCGTGCCTATGTGGATTCTGAGGGGATGCGTCGCTCTGGCAAGCTTTGAAAAAAGTGTTATCTGTTGTGTTTTAACCCAAAGCATGATTTTTTTCTAACCCTACCCAAGTAGTTTTACTCCCTGCGGTGAGGCTGAATTGTTCCAATACAACAACCCCACTAACTACAGCACAATTAATGACCACAGAGTTGAATCAACGTCTTCTGACTCTTGCGTTAAATTAGTGCACAATGTAGTGTTTCTTCTTGTCAGTTAGCATGTATCGTAGCTAATAATTTCACTCATTTATTTATGTGAAACCATTATAACCTTACATCCGAATATTTAGATGAAATGTGTATGTTCTCTTAAATAGATCAACAGGGATGTTGCAGTGCACTGTCTATTTACTAAATAAGCAGAAAAACTAATTTTCAACAAAACACTTGCTGTTACCAGGACAGCCTAGAGGAAGCACTGTTGGCTACTCATCAGGAAATGGAGATATACCATAACCAGCCTTTAATCATGGAAAAGCTGCAGTTCAAAAAGGAAACCCAGCAGAACCAGCTGATTAACATCAGAGGGGAGCTCTCCCAGGCCTCCAGTGTGAGTTCAGTAACTTGTCTGCATTTCAAAAAAATGCACAGCTCCACGTGATTGTGCAATGTACATCTGCTCATTAAATGTTCTATTTGTTATATGTCTAAATCAAACAGTCTGAATATTGCTGACAGTATAAATAATACTATTTTTATTTTATTTTGTATGTCTCTCAGGCTTTAACAACTGCTTGCATGGAGTTTGAAGCATTAGAGGATGAGGCCAATGCCATCCATGGAGACCTGTGGGAGCAGCTTAATGCTGGAGGACAGGTAAAAGGTCACAATGTAATATAATACATATATTATTAATATTATTATTAATATAAAGCGCCTCGAGGCGACTTTTGTTGTGATTTGGCGCTATATAAATAAAATTGAATTGAAATTGAATTGGACAATATCATCATATCTGTAATCCCCCCCCCCCCCTCCTTTTTAATTAATCATTATTTTTAGGTTATTTTACAGTAAGAGATTATCTAGTCATAATTATTCAGCCAGCCACCACCATCTACTTTTTTTGATTTGTAGTAACTGTCATTTTTTCTTTATTTGTCTGTTTTGAATGATTTTTAATGATGACAACAAAACAAAAAACGAAAACAAGACAGCAGAGGTTTTGATGTGATATAAGTTAATCTAAAAATCTGATTAAATATTTTTACAGCAACTGGCTATTATAGGGTTTTTGCAACCTTATGTCAAAGGAGGTTGGCTGGCTACATTCTGTTGATTTGTGTCAAAGTGACACTGGAAAACAATTTTAAATATTAAGCTTGTGTGAATTACATATAAGTAATTCCAGAGGCTAATTTAACAAGTTTGTCACTGTGTGGAAAAAATGAGATTAAATTGAAAAAGGCCAGATATGCAGGATATGCACATTTTGTGATTAATTTGGAACGTTTAAATTAAGCAAAGTGAGCCTGCTTTTTCTGCCAGTTTCTAATTATTAACTAAACAACGTTTTATTGACTCTCTCAATTGATAAAAATCCAGTAATATCAACACCTAAACCTAAATCTCACTTTAAAACAGAGTCCGCTGCTCACCAGTCCTACAAGCACTTGCAGCCCATTTGTTCATTGTAATTTCTGACACTGATTTCCTAATCTAATCTCTTTATGTTACCGGCCCCTCCTTTACCTTCCCTGGGTGCACCTTGTGGAACAGAGTTTAGTGGGGGAGAAGTGGTTGATAAAGATGAACAAACACAAAAAGGTGGAGCTGAAAAGCTGAGAGAGAAAAAGAAAATAGAAATAGATGCAGCAAACTCTCATATTCACTGACAGTCAGGTGTCAGGGCTGTTGCTGCACTGTCAACAGTACCAGCAACAACTAGTAACCAGCCCTCGCAATCCCAAGAAGTGCCAGAGAATGGATAATTGAATTTTCAATTTAATTCAATTTTATTTATACAGCAACAAATCACAACAACAGTGGCCTCACGGCACTTTATATTGTAAGGTAGACCCTACAATAATACATACAGAGAAAAAAACAAAAACAATCATATGACCCCCTATGAGCAAGGACTTTGGCGACAGTGGGAAGGAAAAACTCCCTTTTAACAGGAAGACACCTCCGGCAGAACCAGGCTCAGGGAGGGGCGGGGCCATCTGCTGTGACCAGTTGGGGTGAGAGAAGGAAGACCGGATAAAGACATGCTGCGGAAGAGAGACAGAGATAAATAACGAGTATGATTCAGTGCAGAGAGGTCTATTAACACATAGTGAATGAAGAACAAACACCCAATGCATCATGGGAATCCCCCAGCAGCCTACACTGATTGCAGCATAACTAAGGGAGGATTCAGGGTCACCTGGTCCAGCCCTAACTATATGCTTTAGCAAAAAGGAAAGTTTGAAGCCTAATCTTGAAAGTAGAGATAGTGTCTGTCTCCTGAATTCAAACTGGAAGCTGGTTCCACAGAAGAGGGGCCTGAAAACTGTGGGCTCTGCCTCCCATTCTACTTTTAAATACTCTAGGAACAACAAGTAGGCCTGCAGTGTGAGAGCAAAGTGCTCTAATAGGGTGATATGGTACTACAAGGTCATTAAGATAAGATGGGGCCTGATTATTTAAGACCTTGTATGTGAGGAGCACAATTTTGAATTCTGGATTAGCAGTCCCAACAACAGAGTGAGGATGAGATGGAAGAAGGTATAATTGTCATGGTCAGAAAATAGATGGTGGGATGTAATTAGAGCAGGAGATTCCAGCAAAAAGTGAACTACTTTGTCAATAAGCGACTGCTAATAGCTAAAGATTAGCTTTTAATTGTGACATGTTGCACTGTAGTGTAACTAAGGTCCCAACCCAACAACAACTGTACAAACCTGATTAAAACAGAGGGAGAGGCAGAAAATATGTGCACAGGAGGAGATTAGGGCAAAGTGGACACACAGAAGGACTGGAGTACCATGACAAGTAAGCCAGCAGTCTAAGAACAAAGTGGTAGACTATGAGGTCTTTAAGATAAGATGGGAAGCATGTATAATTTAAATAGAACATATCCTTGCACATAAGCCTGTGAACTCTGTAATTAACCTCATTGTATGAAGAGGACTCCACATTAATATGAACAAATTTGAGTATATCAGATAGATATGATTCAAACCATTGCAGCACAGTACCTTTTAATACCTGTGACATGCTCTGTAATAAAACGCAATGATCAACAGTATCTAAAGCTGCACTGAGGTCAAGTAAAACATGCACACGGTAAGTCCACTGTCAGAGGCCATAAGAAGATCATTGTGATCTTCAGTAATCATGTTTCTGCCTTTTTGAAGCTCTTCAAATAAATAGTTCCTCTGCAGATGAGCAGTTAGCTGTTTTATGACTGCTATTTCAAGAATTTTTCAGATAAAAGGATAGTTAGAGAATGTCCTTTAATTAGCTAAGACAGTTGAGTAAAGTGATGGCTTTTTAAGTAATGGTTTAATCACTGCCACCTTAAAGGCCTGTGGTATGCAGCCCAGTAATAGGGACTGATTGAGCGCCTTTATATGATTAAAGCATTAATTTATGGTAGTATTTCTTTGAGCAGTCAGATGTTATGAATAAATAATTCTCTAACGGTTAAAAATCTTTGTGTAATGAAATTCATAAAGTTGTTACTGGTTAAGGTTAAAGGAATGCTTGGCTTAACAGAGCTATGACTCTGAAAATAAACCTCTTATTTTCTTAAGTCAGTGACTTAGTGAGCTTTATGGAGGAGCAAACTCTTTCCAGCCTAAACGATCATCTTCTAAACTAGTGAGATGCCATTCCTCTCCAGCTCATAAAATTCGCCTTTGAGAGTTATTTTAGGGAGTCGAGCCTGATTTGAGTCTTCTTTCCGAAGAGCCATATTATCCAGAGTTGAATGCCATTGGGATGTTTCATGTCTGCTGTAGCTGACGGCGTGGAGTGGAGTGTGTGGACCCAAAGGCAGATAAATGGAGACAGAAATGGAGCAAACAAAAGGAGAGCCATTTATTTCTGGCTGAACAAAAAAACAAACAGTCATGGGGAGACTGAGAAAAATTACTTCTACGTAATCTTTGTGTAATCAAAGTAAAAATATGTCATGTTATCTAATTTTTACTGCACTACAAACTTTTTAAACAACATTTAGAAAAAACAAAGAAAACAAAATGAGTATATTACAAATACTAGTGCATGCGAAGTAAGTACTCAGAATGATATTCTCTGCTATCTTAGTGGAGGTCTGCTATCATATATTTTATATATATCTAATCCTTTAATGATTCCATAACAACAGATTTTGTTTGTTTTTTCCTCTTTTTTTGTTAAAATGAAACAAAAAAAAAATGAGAGCAATTTCGATGACATGTAGTTATTTTTTTCCATCCATCCATCCATCCATCCATCTTCATCCGCTTTATCCGGGGCCGGGTCGCGGGAGCAGCAGCCTAAGCAAAGAGGCCCAGACCTCCCTCTCCCCAGCCACCTCCTCCAGCTTATCCGGGGGAACACCAATTCCACATTTTTTCCACATAACTGAAATTAATAAATGGACCTGACTGTTATTAGTATTAGGGTCTAATTTCTGCTATTTTTCCTTGTAATTTCTTTTTAGAGTGAATTAGTTCGGCGGCACATCCAAAAAGAGTTTTGGAGAGTCCAGGATGTATTAGAAGGTCTACAAAAGAACAGCTTATCCAGAGGCATAAAAACAGCCAAGGGTAGAGGTAAAAGAAACTAAACTAATCTTGAACATAATGGCCTGTGTTTCTACCTTCTATCTAATGGCCTTTTCCTGACACTTTAAGTTTGTTTCTCTTTTCAGTTGACAGTGGTGCATCAGGGTCCTTTACCACCAATAGTCCAGCAAGCCCACTGAGCTCAGTAAGCCTTACCAGTCCACTGAGCCCCTACTCCCCAGTGCCTGTTTGCCAGGCTTCTCCAACCAAGGAGTTGGGTCTGGAGGTAAGCACTTAATCCTAAATTGCATAGAAGAGGAAATTCTAAACGTCCCAAGCCATGCCTTGTGCCTAATTTCAAACCTGACAAAATGCCAAACCATGGACCCCAAAGTTATAGGGAAGCTGACCCAGTGTCTTATGCAGAACATGTAAATTATTATGGTTGTGAAAACTGTGAGCATACTTTTCATAGATTACTCTAGCTTTCTAGAACCTCAGGGAGTCCTTAAGGACGTTAAACACTGTAGAGGAGGAAATAGATCAAAAAGGGACTAACTAAGCTATAAACCCAGGAAAGGCCAGAGAACAGACCAGTTTTCTTGGTGTACAATGCCAATATTCTGAATATACCAATCAGCACTCAGATGCAATCCATATCCATTCTGATACTCGAGAGATTAATTAGTTAACCTTCGACGGTTGCAGAGATGAAGCCAAGCTTGTCCTCAGAAAACATGTCGTAACATGCTTACATCTGGATCATTGTTAGTTTTCCCATGATTACTGGGGTGTTTCCTAACATCGGGCTCATTCAGTAAGTGTTTAAGTAAATAGTTCATTACATCAGTGTGCATTTAAAAAAACACAGGTATGACATTTTTATTCTTAATTAATAACTTAATATACAACCTGTTTGATGAAAGGTGTTTTCATAATTTCTAAATAATGGCTTCACTATTTCTAAATTTAAGAACAAATCATTTATTTATTAGCTGTTCATAGCATCGTATTGCCATGCTATAGCTGTCCTGGCTGCCATGTTTTTTTGCAATGTTCTGTGGAGGTCTGAAGTGGTGCCTTTAAAATGGGAGATTGGGGTATTTGTTCCCATATTTAAGAAAGAGGACAAGAGATTATGCTCCAATTATAGGGGGATCACAGTGGGAAAGTCTATGCCAGGACTGGAGAGGGGAGTCCATCTGTTTGTTGAACCTTAGATTCAGGAGGAACAAAGCAGTTTCGTTCCTTGTCTTAGAACTCCTCTTTATCCACTCAAGGATATTCAAGGATGCACGTGAGTTTGCCCAACCAGTCTAAATGTCCAGCTTTGTCCAGCCACTGGTAGGATGTCAGCCACTTCCTCTGTCTGTCGGTGGTACATACTGTGCAGGGGCCTGTCCTTCCATGATGGTTCCTCCTCTTTCTTGGGTTTCTGCTGCCTAAGATATTCACTGAGCACACAGTCAGTTGTGGCTGTCTTTTTGATGTACTCAAGGATTTTTGTTGTCTCATCGTGGACTGTGGTACTGACACTCACCAGTCCCTGGCCTCCTTCCTTCCACTTAGCATACAGCCTCAGGGTGCTGGACTTGGAGTGAAACCCTCCAAGCATGGTCAGGAGCATCCTGGTCTTGATGTCAGGATCTTGTTCTTACCATTCAGCTGACTCTTCAAGACTTGCCTGACCTTCTGCAGGTACTTGGTGTTTGCATCTTTCCTAACGGGCTCCTCGTTGTTCCCATTTGCCTGTGGGATTCCCAGGTACCAGGTTCTCCAATCCGAACAACATTCCGATGTCATTGCTGTATATCCTGGTGGTGTGGATCAGTGAATCGGCATACAGCTTGATGTCATCCATGTAGAGGAGGTGGCTAACAACTGCTCAACTCCGTAGTCAGTATCCGTAGCCAGTCTTGTCAATGATTTCACTGAGGGGGTTCAGGCCTATGCAGAACAGCAGTGAGGACAGAGCATCTCCTTGGTAGATCCCGCACTTGATGCTGACTTGTGCTATGGACTTAAAGTTGACCTCTAGTGTTGTACGCCACATCCCCATTGAGTTCCTGATGAAGGATCTTGGGGTCCTGTTGATCTTGTATAGGTCTAGGCATTCCAGGATACAGTTGTGGGGCATTAAGTCATAGGCCATCTTGTAATCAATCCAGGTAGTGCACACGTTAGTCAGCCTCATCTTGCAGTCTGGTGTGACTGGTCTGTCTCCCAGTAGCTGGTGTTTTGCGCCTCTGGTATTCTTGCCAATCCCTTTCTGTGCCCCGCTCATGTATTGAGCCATAGACCTGTTCATCTTAGCCACTATGATGACTGTCAGGTGGTACTGAGGCAGGTTATTGGCCGGATGGGACCGGTCCCTTCTGGGGATCAGGATTGCCTGGCCTTCAGTTAGCCATTCTGGGTGTCTCTCATCGACAAGCAGCTGGTTCATTTGTGCTGCCAGACGCTTGTGGAGTGCAGTCAGCTTCTTCATCCATTAGGTGTGAACCATGTCGGGGCCTGGTGCTGTCCAACTCTTCATACTGGAGACCCTTTCTTGGATGTCTGCCACTGTGATGGTTACTGGACCCTGTTCATGGAGGTTCCTGTGGTCTGCTTCTAGATCCACTAGCCACTGAGCATTGCTGTTATGAGTTGCATCCTTCTCATATATGTTCTTTCAGTATTTTCCAGTCTCCAGCTTTGTTGGTGCTGTTCTCATATTGTTCTCATACTGTTCCCCTGCCACTGAGAGTACACTTTGGATGGTTCTGCAGAGAACAGCTGGTTCATTCTCCTGCTTTCTATTTCTCTGGTGTACCTTGTCAAGTGGCTGGCCAAGGCTGTGAATCTTTGCTTGGCAGTTTCCAAGGCCTCCAGTATGGACAGCTTGCTGTACGTCTTAGGCACCTTCTCCATTGCACCTCTCTGCAGCTCTGATACTTGATCCCCCTGACATGTTGTCCAGGCTCCCCCTTGCCATAACATTTGTTTTGTACCTTGTCAATCTCTAGCTGTGAGAGCAGTTCCTTCTTCTGAATGTTGAAATACTGAGCTCCTAGCTGTTTCGATATCAACAGCGCCCTATTTTCTTCTCTTTCCCACTTATGCCATATTGTTCCAGTAGCCCACTTCTCATCAAGGTGTCCTGGTTTCTCAACACCTGACGTGCACCTTGTTTTGTGTGTGTGTGTGTGTGTGTGTGTGTGTGTGTGTGTGTGTGTGTGTGTGTGTGTGTGTGTGTGTGTGTGCAAAACACTGGGTCAAGGACAATGACAAATATTCAGGCTTGAATTCCAGAGTCCCTGTCAATAAAATAAAGAACAAAGTCAAAGCCAAATTATTTTAGATTAATTTCAAATTGTTTCCTAATTATTTTAGTATCAACATCAACTTCAACTGAACAACTAAAGTTCTGAACAACTTAAGAAGAGGTAAATAAGAAGAAGAGATAAAGTATTTCAAAAAATCCTGTCCTATCCGAATTGTGATCTGAATGCATTATGGTGCCAAACACATTTTGCTATTGCACGAACAGCTAGAGTGTCTATGGGTCCATCCTCTTCATGTGAATCTTTAATCTATTTATTTATTCATTTTAATTTGTTTTATTTCAGCTATTACATTGTATGATGATGTATACAGCAAGACAGGCAAGAGAAATAAACAAAAATAAAACCAACCAAAAAGGAGGAGGTGGGGATAGAATAAAGGGATAGAATACAAATAGAAATACAAAGGGGTCACAAGTCTAAGATATTAGATGTTAAGATAAGAAGGGAAGAGTGCATGATCAGTGCTTTTTACCACACTGTTCTACTTGAGGTATGGTTAAGATGTAGTTTTGCACTCTATACCCTTAATATTCTTGTAAACAATCAAGCCTGTTTCAAACCTCACAATTGCTGTGCAGCCCTACCGTATAATGTTTTAGTTTAAATTTGACAGGTATACGGCTCTTACTTGGCTGGCCAGTGTTAGGTTTATGGTCAACACTTAAGACCATCTTTAGATCAATACTTTAGATTAACATTAGTTTGTGAAAAGACGATGCCTTGAACTTTCATATTACTTGATTCCACATTAATATGGAGCTTGCAAAGAAAAGCGTCTGGACTTTGTGACTGTTTGGTCTCTCCAATGTAGAGGTCTGGGCCTCTACATTGGAGAGACCAAACAGCCACTTCACAGGCGCATGGCACAACACAGAAGAGCCACCTCCACAGGACAAGACTCAGCAGTCCATCTGCATCTTAAGGACAAAGGTCACTCTTTCGAGGATGCCAATGTTCACATTTTGGACAGAGAGGACAGATGGTTTGAAAGAGGAGTGAAAGAAGCCATCTATGTCCACTGTGAGCAACCATCTTTGAACAGAGGCGGGGGTTTACGACACCAACTCTCTGCCATCTATAATCCAGTTTTGAGATCCCTTCCCAGACGCCTTAACGCCCACTCACATCCTGGGCCATCTGACCTCAGGAATTCGCATGATAAGGTGGGGCCAGGTTTCACAATGAACTCACCCGAAACTCTGGCTGATTGTGACCCACACCCAGTTTCACACCTTGGCTCAAGCGATTAGAGGATCATCAGGGGGTCCTTTTGTCCCTCTGTGGGGGGAAACTCCCACTAGGTTTATATCTGGGACTCTCCACCATTTGACCTTAGAACTGAAGAAGCTTCTCGGATGAGAGGTGAAACGTCTTCAAGTAACTTAAAGAAGTCCAGATGCTTTTCTTTGCAAGCTCCTTTGACTACGATGACCTGGATGACTGAGAACCTTCACAGACATTAATATGCGTAAATAATTATTTTCATATGTTGAATTAAGTCTGTCTTAATGCTTCTTAGAGTTTAGCTACTATAAGGTGTGATCAGTGTTTCAGCAACCAGCTGGGGATTTTCATCCAACTCTTTAACTAACTAGACTGAAACTCAATCAATACATTTCTGCTTTGCAATTTGCCTGGCTTATTGTCACTTATCCTGATATGCAGCACTCTCTCTTCCTCCTATCCTATGTTAACTTCCTTCTTCACTCCCTACTGCCCTTATGGTGATCAAGGAAAGTGTTCCCCCTAGGCCTCCCCTTCCCAAATCCTATTACCCATTGGATCCCTCCTATACCTTTCCTCCCTCCATCCCTCCCCTGCCTTTTGACAGCACGACCTGGCCACACAGCTTCGGCATCGATGTTGATTACCTTGGTGGTGAAGATTCTGACTTCAGAAAGGTAATTGGGTATTTCTGCTGGTATACTCTCTTTCATTAGAGAAAGAAATAAAATGTGAACCAACCTTGGTGCATCACATTTGTTGAAGTCATGTGTACTTGAAGAGGACATTTTGATCAGCACTGTCACTTCAGTTGGCAGCTGGTCAGCTGTACAGTAAAGGTATAGTACTGTTAAAGAATGGGTTACTGCAATTCCTTTAAAATAAGAAGACTTTTTCAACCATAGTGTGATTGCATCATTGGGGATTCTTCAGGTGTACCAGCTGTTTCTTCCATTACAAGGCATTATCTAATGCATTCTTGAGTTTTTTGAACAGTATTAGAATCGTTCACTACCTTCAGGTTCAGTGCTGACAAAATAAAAACATCTCTGCATTCCAGCCCAAGTTTGGAGAATCGAACAATATCAGTGATGTTCAGGAGCAGGCCCAGGACAGGCAGTCCACCATGAATAAAGGTACAACAGTTTAATATCAAGATTTAAAAATGGCAATAACAATGACAACAATAACTTGGGTATGCAGAACCCAGAGATACATTCTTTAAGGCGCTTATAATAGCAAGTTAAAGATAAAAATTCAGTATTCTGTCTTTTGACGTCTGATTGCATGAATTAATCAAGTGACACTTTAAAGACTGACTCATAGTGTTATGTTTGAGAATACAAACATGTTTTTTTTGGCCTGTACTTATAAGTGTATTTATTTTTTCACATGCACAGTTGGCATTGTTCCTCCTAGAACCAAATCCCCCACTGATGAATCGCAGAGGAACTTTACTGAAGTTCATCGCCGTAACAGCAGAGTGCTTAATGGAGTCTCCAGGGTATGTCAACCCACTCTGGTTAGGAGAGAAAAAATATAAGCCTTAATAAACAACAAACAATAATAAACAATGAACAGGTCAGTGGAACTGAGAAACATGTGAAATGGGTCATATTCACAACATTAGACATGAATGCACATAAGAGGTTGTAATGTGGGTTGTACTCAGTGGTTGAGAGGAGCAGTGGAAACACTTAGCAGGACAGTCAGAAAAACTCATGACCACACTGGCACTGGGAATTCCACAGTGCTTGTATTTTAATGCACACTCAACCTTACAAAGACCCATTGAACAGCTACTAATTATCATACATGAAGCACAGTGTTCCTACAACCCGTTGCAAAAAGTTAAAGAGGTCCGAGTCCATAAACTCACTTGCAAGCAAGTGGATCTCATACTCCAAAGTGGGCAGTGGTGCATACTTATGACATCTCTAACCCTTACATTGTCTTAAAGAGACACCACACCACTGCAACTGTTACAAGGTTGATATTCATTTTAGCGCTGTCAGCGTTAATCTCGTTAAAATGACGTTAATGCCATAACCGCCATAACCACAAATCTCCACCGCGTTAATGCGGTTATGGCGTTAACGTCATTTTAACGAGATTATCACTGACAGCATTAATTTATTTATAATCCATTTTATTATATTTTTATATGAGAGAAATTATCTCTAAAAATAAGCCTGTTCTCTGTCATAGGAGCGCCCAAAAAGTGCTGCTTTTCCCACAGAAATTAAGATGAAGATGAGTGTGGAGGAACAAAATGAGCGACTTCGTCGCAACCAGTGCAGTTCTATGAGGGACAAAAGGAGAAGCCTAAACCTGTCAGGAGGCCAGTCTCCAGCCAATTACAAAGTGGTATGAGCAAGCTAATGGTGATCCTTGTCATGTATTTAATTGTAGTATTGTCACAGTGAGCTGGTAAAGTAAAAAATGAATCATGTATGTGTTTATTTTTCAGATGATAGTCATAGCTGCAGTACATGTGTGAAAGAACTTTCACACATGTACTGCAGCTTGAAATTTTTCTCAATATCACACATTTCCCAGATTTCCCAAATTGTTGCTGTCATACCTGCCTACCCCAGTACAAAGCTTTGTAATTTCCATGTGAGCCCATCTGAGAAAGTTGTGGTCTAGCAAATTCACTTGGGTACAATAGCTAGACATAACCCATGTAAACACCAAGTAGTTACAACTTATCTGAAATGGACCTTCTCCTGTTGTGTGAATGTGATTCTCCAACACCGTCAGTTCATGTGTAAAAATGACAGAATGATAGAGATCACTTTACACTGATCACACTGGGGTGGCTGTAGCTCAGAAGGTAGAGAAGGTCATCTGCTAATTGGAAGGTTGGTTGGTCGATTCCTGCCTGCTCCAGTCTGTATGCTAAATTTTCCAAGATACTAACCCCAAGTTGCTCTCCAGTGCGTCCATTGGAGTATGAATGTGTGTGAATGCTAGATAGAAAGCACTTGCATAGAAAAAGTGCTTGTGGGAACGAGGCAAATTCTGTAAAGTGCTTTGAGCACTTAGATATGGTAGGAAAGTAAAAACCAGTCCATGTACCATGCGTATTGTCCACCTGTTTGCATTTCTGGTACTTCCAGGTGGGTAAGATAATCCACTGAAAAACATTGCCAATATTTACAAATATAAAACCAGTGATTGAGATAGGCCAAAGTTAGGTATACTAGGGTATACGCATTTTAGCTAGCTGATGATTTGATTGTATCTGCCTGTGTGTCCTATCTAGTTTGTGTTTGTATTCACAGGTCCGTAGGCGGCTGACAGCTCATGAGATTGACATCAAAGACTTAGAGAAGGCAGTTCGAGGACAGGGGCAAGAGTCACCAGAGGAAGAAATTGCTCGTCTGAGATGTTTACAGATTGAACCAGAGCATTACAACATCAGCAAAGAGGTGAAATAAGTTGAATCATTTATTAACTTTGTGGCTATTTTAAGGCAGGTATGTTCACAATAGAATCATAATAGCTTACCTTTGTGTCCAAAATCATAAAAGACAAAGATAAAAGAGATTTTTTTCTTTCTTGTTATAAAAGATGGCTCCTGACAAGGTTCTGATCCCTGAACGCTACCTGGATGTGGAGAATAACACTCTCTTGAGCCCAGAGGAGCAGAAGGAGAAGCAGAAGAAGCTAGAACGAATCAAGACCCTTATTGCCAAATCAAAGTACAGTTTTAACTTCCTTTAAATTTCTAGCAAAAGTCTGTTTATTTAAAGCTGTACACATTTTAAATTTGTAACATCTTTTACCTCTTCATTTATAATAAAAGGAGATGATTATGGGCAGAAATCTGTGCCATCAGAAACTGAATTTGAATAAGTTCAATTTGAATTTGAATTGCTCAGATTGAATCTGAATTGTAACTTGAATAAATGCTTTTGAAAACTGAATTTGAATTAGTCTAAATTGAAATTGAATTTATATTTTGAAAATGAATTGATTTGCTTTGAAACTGAATTTTATCCTTTAAAAATTCAGCTCTCGAATAATTTCAGTTTCACTTCTCACCATTCAGTTTCAGTTCTACAATTCAATTTCAGTTCCAAAATTCAGTTTTTTGGAACTTACATCCGGTTCCGGTTCAAGCGCAGATTAATAGAACTACGTTTTACTAGCGGACCGAAAGTGTTACTGACGGGAATCTACAGCATGTTGAGCTGAATTAAGACTTCAGAAGTCATTCGTCATGTCGAATGACCAGCGGATAAACTCTCAGGTTGGTAATAAATGTATTACATGTATAAGAACAAGCGTCATGTTAACAAATGATAGCCGTAAGGTAACTTTTGTGCTTATTGTAGCTGTTAGCTAAAAACGTTAATTTAGCGTAGTTTTCCCTGAATTCAGCTTTGACAAACAAATATGATCGACTGTTTCTAGTAGAATTCCAAAGTTGTCATCTTGTACCCTCTCAGAGTACCCCCTCTGTATGCTTGCAGAGACCCCTACAGTAGGGAAACATGCAAAACGGTGTCCAAACCTTTGTATTTTAGCTTTATTTATGTCTTGCACAGCATCCCAACTCTGTAGCTAACTTGATAACTTTAGCTAAAGTGAATAGTTAGTCTAATTCATTAGTGCAGCATTACTGGATCACCTCTGTTTGAAGTGATATACAACTATCACTGTGTTTAACTACCATAATAATTCTTAGGGTACTGAATGCATGCTTAATTTGATTTTTTTTTTTTTTTTTTTTTTTAAAAGCATACTGCTCCATTAATATGTTTGACAGGCTGAAGTTGTCGGGTCACCTCCTAAATCGACCATCTTTTACAGGTGTTTTGTGCCAGAAATGGAGTGTCCACTGAAGACACTGAATCTCTACGCCTTGCCATTGATCCGTATTGTGCCTTCATCTAGACAAGAGACATTAACTTAACCACTCTCATATGCTCTGTACCTACATCACCTTCCCTGACAGTTGTAGCTTGGCTCATCTGAGGGTGAAATTATAAGAATGTGTTATTTTGCAAAGTGCTCTCTCGGGTTCCTAAATAAAATATGGCATTGAGGTCATTTCTTTTGAATTAATCCCTTCTTCTGAAATATAAGAATGTCTCCTGGTTTTAATGGCACTTTGGATTTCTTTAATTTCTGTTCCACTTCATCCATCCATCCATCCATCCATCCATCTTCATCCGCTTATCCGAGGTCGGGTCGCGGGGGTAGCAGCCTAAGCAAAGAGGTCCAGACCTCCCTCTCCCCAGCCACCTCCTCCAGCTTGTCCGGGGGAATACCAAGGCGTTCCCAGGCCAGCCGAGAGATATAATCTCTCCAGCGTGTCCTGGGTCTGCCCCGGGGCCTCCTCCCGGTGGGACATGCCTGGAACACCTCGCCCAGGAGGCGCCCAGGGGGCATCCTTGCCAGATGCCCGAACCACCTCAGCTGGCTCCTTTCGATGTGGAGCAGCAGCTGCTCTACTCTAAGCCCCTCCCGGATGGCCGAACTTCTCACCCTATCTCTAAGGGAGAGGCCAGCCACCCTTCGGAGGAAGCTCATTTCCGCCGCTTGTATCCGCGATCTCGTTCTTTCGGTCACTACCCACAGCTCGTGGCCATAGGTGAGGGTAGGGACGTAGATCGACCGGTAAATTGAGAGCTTCGCTTTTACACTCAGCTCCCTCTTCACCACGACTGACCGGTGCAGCGTCCGCATTACTGCAGCCGCAGCCCCAATCCGTCTGTCGATCTCCAGCTCCCTTCTCCCATCACTCGCGAACAAGACCCCGAGATACTTGAACTCCTCCACTTGGGGCAGGAACTCATCCCCGACCCGGAGTGGGCACTCCACCCTTTTCCGGCTGAGAACCATGGCCTCAGATTTGGAGGTGCTGATCCTCATTCCCGCTGCGTTACACTCGGCTGCGAACCGCTCCAGTGCGAGCTGGAGGCCCTCACCCGATGAAGCCAACAGAACCACATCATCCGCAAAAATCAGAGATGAGATTCTGAGGCCACCAAAGCGAAAGCCCTCCGCCACTTGGCTGCGCCTAGAAATCCTGTCCATAAAAATTATGAACAGAACCGGAGACAAAGGGCAGCCTTGGCGGAGCCCATCACCCACCGGGAACGAGTCCGACTTATTGCCGGCAATGCGAACCAAGCTCTTGCAACGGTTGTATAGGGATTGAATGGCCCGTAGCAATGGGCCAGACACCCCATACTCGCGCAACACCTCCCACAGGACGCCCCGAGGGACACGGTCGAATGCCTTCTCCAGGTCCACAAAACACATGTAGACTGGTTGGGCAAACTCCCATGCACCCTCAAGTATCCTCGAGAGGACAAAGAGCTGGTCCAGTGTTCCGCGACCAGGACGAAAACCGCATTGTTCCTCCTGTATCCGAGGTTCGACTAGCGGACGAACCCTCCTCTCCAGCACCCTGGCATAGACTTTCCCGGGGAGGCTGAGGAGTGTGATCCCCCTGTAGTTGGAACACACCCTCCGGTCCCCCTTCTTGAAGATGGGGACCACCACCCCGGTCTGCCAGTCCACAGGTACTGCCCCTGATCTCCACGCAACATTGCAGAGACGTGTCAACCAAGACAGCCCTACAACGTCCAGAGCCTTCAGGAACTCGGGGCGGACCTCATCGACACCAGGGGCTCTGCCACCAAGGAGTTGTTTAACTGCCTCAGTGACCTCGCCCCGGAAATCGGTGGGTCACACCCCTCATCCCCAGACTCTGCTTCCTCCCCGGAAGACGTGTCAGTGGGATTAAGGAGGTCCTCGAAGTATTCCTTCCACCGCCCGACAATTTTCTCAGTCGACGTCAACAGCGCTCCGCCAGCACTATACACAGTGCAGGTAGAGCACCGCTTTCCCCTCCTGAGACGCCTGACGGTTTGCCAGAATCTCTTCGAGGCAGTCCGAAAGTCTTTTTCCATGGCCTCTCCGAACTCCTCCCACACCCGAGTTTTTGCTTCAGCCACTGCCCGAGCCGCATTCCGCTTGGCCTGTCGATACCTGTCGGCTGCCTCCGGAGTCCCACAGGCTAACCAAGCCCGATAGGCCTCCTTCTTCAGCCTGGTGGCTCCCTTCACCTCTGGTGTCCACCATTTGGTTCGGGATTACCACCACGGCAGGCACCAACCACCTTGCGGCCGCAGCTCAATGCAGCAGCTTCGGCAATGGAGACGCTGAACATGGTCCATTCGGACTCAATGTCCCCAGTCTCCCTCGGAATGCTGTTGAAGCTCTGCCGGAGGTGTGCGTTGAAGATCTCGCGGACTGGGGCCTCTGCTAGACGTTCCCAGCACACCCTCACTACGCGTTTAGGTGCACCAGGTCTGTCCAGCGTCCTCCCCCGCCACCTGATCCAACTCACCACCAGGTGGTGATCAGTTGACAGCTGTTCCACTTCCAAACCCAAATAGATCCTGACAAGCTGACACAGTAACATGGAAGAGGGAAAGACGTTGGAAAGGACTACTACAAATAAACCTAATGCCTAACAATGAAAAGTGTAAAATAAGAACAATAATAATAATAAAGATAAAAGATGAAGTAACAAGTTTTTTGTTTATTCCAAATGATCATCCAGATGTCTGTGACATGTGATGACAAACACCATAATGGAAGGCCTTAGTCATCACATGCTTAAACTCATCATATATTTTTGCATATGCTGAACAGGCAGTCAGACATGCTGTAACTGTGTGGTAGAAAACAGCATGAACACCATACGGCAGGTGTCTCAAACTCCAGTCCTCGAGGGCATGGAAAAGTTGCATGACACCGGCCCTCGAGGACTGGAGTTTGAGACCCCTGTCATACGGAATATGACAGGTGTGGTTGAACTGCATGAAGACTCTGAAGTTTCTCTTCTCTTCTGGCAGGACAAGAATGTGGCCTTGTCCTGAGATCCACTGTAAGGATGTACTTAGAGTAGAACTGGACTGTCACCGGCCTCAGGCTCTTCACCCTTTTTAAAAGACAAAGCAGTCATTTAGATAAAATATTAGATATTGTTTACCTGTAAATGCACAAAGAGAATTTAGAAATGTAATTATTGTCAAGAGTGAACAAGCACTGATAGTGTAATCTACAGCTGTGGCCAAACGTTTAGAGAATGAGAAGTGTTGTTTGCTTATTTACAAAGTTTGCCGTTTCAGTGATAGTTGTATATCATATTATATCACTTCAAACAGAGATGATCCAGTAATGCTGCACTAATGAATTAGACTAACTATTCACTTTAGCTAAAGTTATTAAGTTAGCTAAAGAGTTGGGATGCTGTGTAAGACATAAATAAAGCTAAAATACAAAGGTTTGGGCACCGTTTTGCATGTTTCCCTAACTGTAGGGGTCTCTGCAAGCATACAGAGGGGGCACTCTGAGAGGGTACAAGATGACAACTTTGGAATTCTACTAGAAACAGTCGATCATATTTGTTTGTCAAAGCTGAATTCAGGGCAAACTACGCTAAATTAGCGTTTTTAGCTAGCAGCTACAATAAGCACAAAAGTTACCTTATGGCTATCATTTGTTAACATAACGCTTGTTCTTATACATGTAATACATTTATTACCAACCTGAGAGTTTATCCGCTGGTCATTCGACATGACGAATGACTTCTGAAGTCTTAATTCAGCTCAACATGCTGTAGATTCCCGTCAGTAACACTTTCGGTCCGCTAGTAAAACGTAGTTCTATTAATCTG